TGCCCATCTCTCTTCCAAAGAGCAGCTGGAGGATTCAAACTGTCTGGCTTTGGGTTGGCAACACAGCTCTTTACCCACTAAGCCACCACGGCCCCTCCCCCTCTTTACAGTTTACCTTCTATTATTTCCCCCCTCATCGAATGTCACAACGATCCTATGAGGAGGCAACAGTATATCCATTTCAAGATAATAAAATAGCAATAGTCAAGTTTGAATGACTTGAGCCCAGGAGCCTGGACCCCAAGTTCGAAGCGCTTTATGCTATTTCATGTGTATTTGTTCTTTTTACTATGAGGAGTAAAAATGGAATCCTTACGTGAAAACAGACTGGAGTCCCCAGAGTCCAGAATCCAGGGAAGACAAGTGAAGAGGAGGAAGTGGTCCCCAGATTAACTTCCCCCCCCCCGCCCTCTGTAAATCTCAGCTTTCACTGGGGACAGTTTGGGGGGTACAAGGCTGATGTATGTGACTAAAGAGTTAGAAGGAAGGCTGGGATCAGATTGTGTTTCTTCCCCAAAGCTCCTTGTTAGGGTCTGTTTTCCTGTACTTTGTCTTTTTCAGTGCCCTCCCCTATTTACGTTACAGTCTTTCCTCCATTGTTCTGTTTACCATGACTCTCCACACTCTTTGTCTCCACTGTCTTCCTGTTTGCTCATTGCCTCCCCATGTCTGCATGTCGCCACCCTGTCTTGGGGCCTCCCTCAGGACTGTATCCCTGAATCAGTATGCCTATCCACGGATATGTGTTTTTTCCAGGCCTCTGTTTCACTCAAGTTTTGTCACCCTAACAGGGTTTTCATTTCAAGAATCTCCTAAGGTCTCCATCTCCCTTGCATCTCTGGGTCTTCCAAAAAGCCTTGGCAACCTGGCAATTCTGTCTCCATCCTCAATTCCTCTCTCTCTGTCTCCCTATGTCTCTATCCCTCTGAGACTGTCTGCCTCGCTCTGCAGAAATGGGGTGACTATGTCTCCTCGTTTCTGTCTTCCCTCCTCAGTTGTCCAATGACTGTCTTCTCATTTTTCTCTCCCCCATGCTCCCCTCTTCCTTTTCTTCTTCCCCTGTGTCCTATCCTCCATTCTTCTCTCTCATCTCCCTCCTTGGACTCTCCTGAGTGTCTGTCTCCCAATGTCTTAGATGGTGTAGAGGGCAGGAGGATGGGGGAGCAAGGCCTGTTGCTGGGGGCTCATTAGGTGGAGATTGGTTTTTAATCAGCACCATGGCAATGATGATGCAAGAACTGAGATGCCACCTGATCCCCTGCCCCCTAGCCCCCCTCCTCAAGCTTCCTTCCTTTCCAGCTCAGCCCATCTGCTGGGGCCTGGGCACCTGTCTGGGCCTGCCCAGGTGGGAGTTGGCACCTCCCAGACCTGGGGGTGGGGAGGTGTGGTGGAGCTTGGGGAGGAATTATAGGACTCCCCTTAGGGAGTGCCCTATTCTGTAGAAAGCCCAGAGAAGATTGATCAGCATCAAGGAAGTGGCAAATTCCTCCAACAACTAGAATATGGAGTGTGCTCCTTCTAAGGTGCAGGCCCTTAATGTACATGACCTCGGTCTCCATGGCAACCCCAGAAGAAGCCATAATTTACCCCATTTTACAGAAAAGGAGATTGAGGCTCAAGAAGTTAAATTACTTGTCCAAAGCCATGCATCTAAGTTTCCCCCACCCCCCTGTACCATATCATCTTTAGGGTCCTCTCCAAACTTACTTCATTTGGACACTTGACAAGTGATTAATGAAAAACTTCAATAGCTGAGTTGGGGGGAAGAACTTCAGATACTAAAATCCAGCTTACTGCCTCTCTGTGCTTCCCTTGGTTTGAGCATGCTGCCTGCCTTCTGCAACACACACACACACACACACACACACACACACACACACACACACACGAGGCAGCTGATCTATTGATGTGAACTTAATCAATGCTCATTTACATTTAATTTTCATAACTACTCTCCTCAATGCTCATTTGATGCCCCAGCATATTCCAAGTCTACCGGGGCTGCGTGCTATGCTTTCCTAGTGTCCTCTGAGCTTGGTTCCTCCCCACCGAACTGTTGCTTTTTCCTCTAAGAAGCCCCTCATTCTCAATGGGTCAGGTTGGGTTGAAACACTCCTCACGGGGTCTGTGTCCATGATGGGGTGAGTAGGGGGCTGGTGGTTGGGATTGGACAATGATTGGTTCTCGCAGTGGTGAGCCTGATAAAGACTTAGTATCAGGGAGTAAGGAGTGGGTACCAGCTTGAGAAAAGCTGAGAGCTTGGAGAGTCTTGGGTCCTTTTATTTTATTGGGTCCTTTCATTTTAGCACTGTCCACTTGCTCTTTCCCTGATTTCTCTAATAGTTCCATGGAACTATTCTTTACTGAGAGAAGAAGCTGTCAAAGTCAGTCTGGGGCTCAGAATCAGAACAGGCTTCCTGGGAGCTCTGCCCCTGCTGCCTCTGATGTGGGAAGCTGAGGGGGTTCATTTGTGATCCTGCCCTGGCTCTCGCCCCAGCCCCACCCCTTCCCCAGCTCTCCATTTCTTGCTTATGAAATATGCATGGAGAACAGATGTCCCTGCTCCCCCACTCCAACACCCCCCCCAGGGCCAACCCCCGCCCTGAGCTCCCAGGGGGTTCCCAGATCCCTCTGCCAATGGCTGCCTGGCCTGATTGTTTAATATTGATGAAGGGGCGGGAGCCTGGACTAGCCAATGGAGAGCAGGGGGTGTGCGTGTGTATCTCCATATATATACACACAGGGCTGGGCCCTCTCAGGTGTGTATGTGTCTATGTGTGTGAGTGTGGGTGGTCCCAGTACCTGGCCAAGGCCACCCCCTCCACCTGGGCCCTATCTTCTCACAATGTGTACCCCTCTCAACTTCCCTGGAGCCTGTACGACCACACCACGATGCCCCCAAGAGCTCTAGGACACTGGTCACTAACTTTGCAGACGAATGAGCCCAGAGCAGCCAGAGACAACGCTGCCCCCTGTCCAGCCGGATCCCCTGACAGGGTCCTCCTAGGTAAAGTGGCAACTATGGGCTGGGGAGGGTGGGCGTGTCCCTTCTACTCTCTGACTCAAGTTCCCCCCAAGCTTCCTGTAGCTCCTCTCCAGTGCTGTCCCTCTGTCTCTGCATCATTCTCTCCCTCTTTCCCTTTTGACTCTGTGTCTCTCTTTCTTCCATGAGATTGGGGTTGGGAGAGTGGGGTGGGGACGCCTATCTCGGATGTCCGGAATTGTTGCTCTCTCTACTGCATGGTGCTCGGAACTTTGAGACTGTAAGTGGATTTTGGGGTGAGGATTTGATGAATACTTCAGAGGTTACAAGAGGTTGGTTGCTGCCAGGACCAGGACTGGGAAAAGCACTGGGGCCAGGGGGAGATGGGACTGTGGCTACACTGAGGAGCAGAGAATGGGGAAGGGCAGGCATGGCAAAGTGACCAGGAATGAAGGAACATGGGATGGGGCACGGCTGAACTCCTAGTCCCAACCCAAGCATGGAAGTAGGAAGAGGTAGTGGAGAGTTGGGGTGCAAACCAGAACTAGGAGATGCTGATTTTCAATCTTCCCACATTATTACTATTTCCCCTTGTTCCTTTGGGTCCCTGAGTGTGGGGCCTAACCACCTAATTTTGTTATGATTGTGTATGTTCTTGTCTTCCTCGCCCTTAGATGTTGATGGTCCTGCATCCCCCTAGAGCTCTGTAATTGTTAGCTTGACTTCTGTGTGGTAGGGTGGGACACTGTTGAGTCTGACTTCTATGTGGTAGGGGAGGATACTGCCAAGGGGCCTTGGTCCCTGGGAAGTGCCATTAAGCAAGAGAGCCAGTGCCAGGAGAGAGGATAGACAGTGACTAGGAAGCAGCCTTGGTGCTTCTGTTTCTAACTCCTAAGTAAAGCTGAACTCACAGCAAGTGGTCCATTGTCCCCCATCCCCTTAAAATTCTCCCAGAGCAAAGCCCTTTCCCTTTCCTTTCTGGTGCCACATCCACACTCCTGTGGATTGCCCTGACCTCCTGTGGTCAGATACATCTTAAGCCCTGCAACAGTGACCTCAAGAGGTTGCCTGTGTCTTTTTTTCTGCAACCCATGTCTGAACCTCCCTTGGGCTATAGGAGAGGGTGGAAAGTTATATCTCCTTTCCTCGTCCTCCTATTAGAGGAGCCAAAGGGCCAAGGATTGTCAAGGGCTATTGAGAGTAGAGCTAGAGGAAGGGGCTGGTCCTGGATGGTGACCAGAGAAAGTGCGTTCCTCTGGCCCTAGTGCGCAGGGCAGTAGGATCTGATGTTTGTGGGGGTCATACTGAAGGACTGGAGAGGCTGAGCTGAGGTAGCTGTGCCAAACTGCATACATCCCAGGCCACTCTAATGGATAATCTGCATGTCTATTCCTTCTCTCAACACTGGAAGCAGCAAGGGTGGAGAAAGGGCCCTTCCTGGGCAAGAGGGGAAGCAGGACCACTGCTTTCAATTCTCACCTTACAACCAAGAAAGCTCTGGCTTTACAGCCGAGAGATCTTCTCTGGCAACGCCAGTCTAGCTTGGTTTTCCTCTGCTCCAAAGTCCTCCTTTTCACTTTTTCTTCTCTCTTCTGCTGCTCACTTTCTGCAATCTCTTTCCTCTTACTACCTTTCCTCCTCTTACTCCTTTCTTCTTGTTGTTATGTGCGTCGGGTCGCCTGTGACTCAGTGACCAGTTGCCTGCTTCATGTCCAGCGCCACCTTTTCTGTTCTCTTCCTCACTTCCATCAGTCCCGGCCCCGTGGCGAGCCCTCCTCAACTCCTTCCATCTCCTACCTGTCTCCTTTCTCCTTCTGCTCTTATCAGCTTCCCCGTCTCTCTTCCAGGCTCCAGACTGGAGGGGGCTCTGGCCATGGAATCCTGAAGCGGCCCTGACATCCAGAGCTCAGTGGCAGGCCCCATCCCGGGCCCTTCCTGCCCCTCCCACCAGCTTTCAAGCCCCGGAAGGGAGGGGTGGGGAGGGAATCCTGATCTCCCCGGGCACCGGGCTTCCAATATGATGCTCAACTCAGACACTATGGAGCTGGACCTGCCTCCCACCCACTCCGAGACCGAGTCGGGCTTCAGTGACTGTGGGGGCGGAGCGGGACCCGACGGCGCCGGCCCAGGAGGTCCGGGAGCGAGTCAGGCCCGCGGTCCGGAGCCCGGAGAGCCTGGCCGGAAAGACCTGCAGCACCTGAGCCGGGAAGAGCGGCGGCGCCGGCGCCGAGCCACCGCCAAGTACCGCACGGCCCACGCCACGCGGGAGCGCATCCGCGTGGAAGCCTTCAACCTGGCCTTCGCCGAGCTGCGCAAGCTGCTGCCCACGCTGCCCCCCGACAAGAAGCTGTCCAAGATTGAAATCCTGCGCCTTGCCATCTGCTACATCTCCTACCTGAACCACGTGCTGGACGTCTGAACTTTAACCGTCTCCACCAGGGCTCCTCCCCTTTTCCACGATCGCGGTTTGGAACACGGTCATCTCCTCCCTGCGCCCCTCAAACCTTGGCGTGCAGTCCCCAAAGCCCTGGGCCTTTCTTTCACTGACCCAAGCCCGGTGAAGGCAGTGGATTCCCCCTGGGTCTGTGGTTGGGGCCCAGCAGGCTAGAAATGTTTGCTAGAGCAGCCAGTCTAGCGTCCTTGTTGGACTTACCATGCTGGCCACAGTTGGAGTCGCCCTAGCTCACTCATGGGCGACTCTGTTGCCTACCCACATTTTCAGAGACTTCAGGCCCTGACTCTTTGTCCCATCAGCTTTTCATCTTGCTCCAGCTTCTCTTGCCTACCACTGGTGGGGGAGACATCAGAACAGCAGGATGTAGATGGTTGGGGTTAAGTGGGAGCTGGAGTTCTCATCTTATACAGCTTGAGTGGAGGGACAGGCCTTTTCCTTTGGAGGCGGCAGGATGGGCGACATGACTCCTCCGGGGGAATCTGAGAAGCCTGAAATGACGAACTCCCTTCTGCTGTCCATCTTGTTCCCGAGGCTTCACACATGCAGCCCTCGGATTACTTGGTAGTGAGTGCCTTGCCCTCTCTGAGCTATTTGGCCATCTTGTCCTTCCTTTTCCATTTTCTTTCCCTCCACCCCTTCGCTTTTCCCTGTGTGCAGCTAGAGAGAGGGAAACCCAGGTCTTAGGGTGAGGGATGGTGTCCCCAAACACAGCCCAGATCCAGGCAGTGAGTGAGTGAGATCTCACCTTTGCGTCCTCCACCCCAGCCCACCTTGGAAATGTGCAAAAGCAACACCATTCCTCCTTCAGAAGCAATGGCTGGGGGGCACCCCAGTGTCCTCTGGGAAAGCTTAGGTTTCCTGGCCCTAGAATCTATGATTACGTTCAAAAGAGCTTAATAACTTCTTATACTGCCCTCTTCCCTAACCCACCCTGCCTCCTGGTTCTTGGTGGTCCTGGCCATACTGCTGAGCCCACCTGCTCGCTAAACCAGGGGAAGCAGTGGAAGGAAGGAACCGTGTAGAAAAAAACAGACTCACTCTACCCCTGTCAACCCTGAGTTCCCTCACCCCAAACTCTTAGTTCTACAAGGATATTATTTATTTATTTATTCATTCATCTATCTATCTATTTATTTATTTATTTATAAATATCGCTATTTATTACCGAGTTGTGCACTTTGGGGTAGAGTCTGGGGGGCTTTTGGCAGCTCTTGCCAGGTCTCTCTTGCTTGCTCCCCGGTTACTCCTTTCCCATTCTTGTTCCTTCTGCAACTTCAGGTGTGTGTGTGGGGATGCCCTTTGCTCACACAATCACGTGCCCGCCTCAGCCTGATCTGCTCTGCACTTTCCTCCTCTGGGATGGTGCCCCCCCCCCCCAGCTCAGTAAGCGGGTGGGGAAGGCTGCAGGATGCCCTTCCTCAGCTCCCTCCGGGGCAGGTAACACCACCCTCATCCCCCTTGTCACATTTCTAACTCCAGTCCCCCCATGACCCTTACTTCTTCCTAATACCCACCCTCCCACATGTATACACAATGGGCCCTGGGGTCTGTGCCCTGTGTGTCATTATCTCCTGTTGAATTTCTGATTTCACTAAAAGAAAAAAAAAAAATTAAAGAGACCTCGTTCTAGCACCAGGCATGGATGTGGTTCATTTCATGGGGCCGGGGAAGCTGACAAGCAGGAAGCAGGTATGGTAGGTTAGGTCATACATAGCCTTCACTGTGAAGGCTTCTTTGCTGAGGGACATGAGAGTCCACTGTGGTAGGTAAACAAAGGCGGTGAGAGGGAACCGAAGGGTAAAGATGTGGGAGAGAGCAGAGCATGCAGCTCCCAGACCTCTCCTCCTAAAACTACGTATACCCTATTTTGACACACATTCAATGGTACTCTGACCCTCTTGATGCTGTACTTCTCCTGCTCTCTAAGTCTCAGAAAGAGTTGAATGCCCCAGGAGAACCCAAGTCTTTGAGTCTGTGCTGTCGAGAAAAGGCATGTGTTTATGTTGCTGAGGGATGATACTAAGACATAGCCTTTCTCATTCCACAACCCACCCACCCCCCCGCCCCCAACCTTGCCTTTGCCTAAAGGTCAGAATTCCTTGCAATCTCAGTTCTGGGTCTATTTTGTGTTTCCTGGCTTTAGAATATGGGGGAGAGTATATATATAGGAGGACCTGAACTGGCAAGGGAATGAAGAGGTTAGAGTGGGGTGCGGCAAGAACAGTAAAGGAATTTTGGGCAAAGAAATTTATAGGTGAGAACACTAAGTGAGGCCCAGAGAGAAGAAGTCCTTGCCCAAGGTCACATAGCTGTGGGCAGATTTAAGGCTCAAAACCAGGTTCTTCATGCTCTTCCCTGCCAACTCCTGTCTCCTTGAGGTTACCCACCCGCTAGGTGGTGCTCGCTTTTGGAACTGTATTTTTAACAGAAACATTGCCAAACTAGAGAATATCCAGAGTGGTCAGAAAGCAAGACTGTCTTGTGAGGCCATGAAACAAACAAAGTACTTCACAGGAGAAATAGTTTCAAGATTAAGGATAAAAAAGATCTTTACAAGATTAGGGTTAGGACTGTATAGCAACTGTCTTTAAAATTTTCTGTGATCCCAGAAAGCAGAACCAGGGCCAGCAAAAATGCTGTTGTTATGACAGGGAGTGGAAATAGACTCATAGCTAACCCTCCAGTGGTTTTTCAGAGGCTATAAACCACATGGGAGGAGACTGCCCATCTTTTTCTCCAGGAGCAGGGGTTGGATTTGAACTGTGTGCCTTTGGGTTGGGAGTGCAGCTAATTACCACTAGGCCACCAGGAAGCAGAATTTTAACTCCAAGGAAAATTTTTAACATCTGGAGCTACTCAGCAATGGAAGAGCATCTCTCAAGAAAGATGAATTGCCATCAAGTGTATTCCAATTCACATGTTTTCAAGGCTGTCAGAAGCTTTTCTGAAGCAGATCACCAGAGCTGTCTTCTGAGGCACCTTGGGGTTCAAATAATCAAACTTTGAGCTAGAAGTTGAGTGCTTAATCATTTGCATCACCCAAAGAGAAATGAATATTTAGCCATTAGTAAGAACACCAGAAAGAGAGGAAATCTCTGCTTAAATGAAAGATGGCCAGATGATTGAATGAAGTCATTTTTCCTTTCATACTGAAGGCAGACAGTGGGAGGGAAATGCCAAGATAGCCTTCAGTCCCTGCAGAGCAATGAATGACATCAGTAGCAAGAGGGCCTTGAGTTAGACTTGGGGAGAAACTCCCATATAGGAAGGACTTGATGGTTTTCTTTCTCCAGCTGAATTGACTCTGCCCAAGGAATCTGACAAGAAGGAGGGCTGAACTGAGCCTCTTATTCCCAGCCTTAAGTGCTTTGTGTCTTCTCATGCTCGACAGCCACGGTCCTAGGAGCTGCAGCCTCCCTCTCTCATCACTTTGCCCCACTGAGAGCAGGAGTTACCGAGCCCTCCCCTCAGGGATCCCTCAGGACCTGGGGGTGGTGAACTGGGGCAGCTGCAGCTGTTGTACTGCTAGCTCCAAATTTCTTCAGATAATCAATTGGCCTCGCTGCTGCTCTGCTCCACCAGACAAGAGAAGAAGGATGTGGGGGGTTGGGGAAGGGCACAGGGGAGGAGATGGAAGGGAGAGGAGATGGTCAGCGAAAGAGAAATCCCTAGTTGTAGGCAAAGTGAGAGTTCTGGCCAGCAGACACTGGAAGGCAAGAGAATGGGAAAGGCCCTCATTTAACATGTCCTTCCAAAATCCAACGAGTGTGTGTGTGCCAGAGGGGTGGGGTGAGTAGTTTGGAACACAATACCCAAGTGGGGTTTTTGTGTGCGTGTACACAGTGTTGCCACTTCTACCAACCCCTTCCGTAATGTCCCGCCCATGGCCGTGGCTGCTTCCACCTGTCCTTGCCTCTCCTGCCTTAGCCACCACACACCCCTGACCCTGCAGCTCTCTATCTGTTGTAATTGCTCCTTTTTGCCCTCTTTCTTAGCAACCCCCACCCCCAGCAGCAGAGCAGACGGCAGGGCCCCAGGGGTTTGAGAGTGGGAGTGCTCTTAGCCACTGCCCCTGACACACACATTGCGTAGGCTGCCAGGCATATGGCCTCTTTGTGCCCACACAATGGAGGCCCGCCTGTGCCCCTTTTCCAGTCTGGGCACTGGGAGCCTCTCCTTCATTTCATCCACTTCCCTTCCTTCTTCAATGTAGCACCTGCCTTCTTCACCTTCTTTTCTTTATCTGGAAGCTCCTTGCATCATTCCCTTCTCTTATAGTTATGTTTCTTTTTTACTTTCTTGTGTCCTTTCTCTGAACTCTTGAAATCTGAGGTGAAGGTTGTGGATGGAGGAAAGAGGTTAGCAAGAGGGTCCTCATCATAGGATGTTAGTGCAACAAGGGAAGAAGGAGGGGAGCAGAGATGTCGGGCATGGGGCTGACAGGAGATGGAGGCAGTGGCGGTGGCAGCAACATTGTACTAGAATGGAAGAGAAAACCTACCTCTGGTAGCCAGAACAATCGAGTTCCAGCTCCACGTTTACTTTCATTCTCTGTGCCACAGTGAGCCCCATCCACAGTAAGTCCCACCCACAATGATCTCTGCCCCCTCTCCTGTCAGTGTTCTTATTTGTAAAATTGTTTGTTGTTGTTGTTAGGAACCATCAAGTCAGAACCGACCCATAGCTGACCCTCTGGCAGGTCTTCAGAAGCAGTTAATCGCATGGGAAGAGATTGCCCATCCTTCTCCTTAGGAGCAGTTAATGGATTCAAACCACCTTCCTTTGGGATTGCAGTGCAGCTTCTTACCACTAGGCCACAGGAGCTCCCTGTAGAGAAGATAATATCTGCCTCACAAGGATGGTAGGAAGATAAAACTATTGTGGCAGTTTTTAGCATGGTAAAGTCTCAATCAATGGCGCTATAAGGTTTGTCAGTGACAGAACCAATCCACATAGTTGCAGTT